AACAATAATTTTTTTTAAAAAATAATTCCACATCATACTGTGCTCTATCTTCATGAATGAACAGTTCATATTCTATTTACAGACTGTAGATCCACAGATGACTGAAACAACTGGATATCTTCTGCTTATTCTGGTGCATGTCATTACAGGTGCCCAACCTGAAATTGTATCTTACAGGATCCCTGCCAGGTGACAGATTTGAAATCGTAGTGAAGTATGTACATGATGGATTGATGGTTTTGGTAAAAATAAAAATAAAAAAGTAATAGCCACCTTGAATAAGGCAGTATTCTGAGAGTGGCTGGCTGCCTCTTGGAAGCAGAAATCATTCTTGTGGCTATCCACTGGCTTCTGGGACTCTCCTCAGAGATGAGCTTTCTTTAATACTTGGGAGTGACTATTCCCCATAAGGCACTAAAAAATCAGCTTTCCAGGATTGATGAAGATACTGAAGCTATTAGTACTGGTATATTTCCTGACTGTCCTGCTAGAAGTGAACAAAGCTTTGGTGACATTACAACTTAAGAACTGCACACTGTAGTAATCCTAGTGGAGAACTTCATCTGGGTACTCAAAAAAGAAGGTGAACATTATGAAAAAATGAAGAGTAAAATCTCCTTTGTATATTAGAGGGATCATCTTAAAGAGAACAGAGGAGAGATCTCTGGAGTTTGAGCTTGGGGCTGAATTTATCCCCTTACAGAGTAAGAATAAGCCCTCAGTAGAGGTTCTCTGTATCACCTCATCTCAGTGGTTACCATCTCCCTCTCAGAATCACATGAAGATTTTAGAATTTAAAATGCTGTTGCCCACACCATTAAAAAAAATTTTTTTTTTATTTACTGATTTTTAGAGAGAAACATTGATTTCTTGTTCCAGTAGTTCATGCATTCACGTGTTACTTCTTGTATATGTGTTCTCATATGAACCCACAACCTTGGTATATGGAACGGCACTCTAATCAATTTAGCTACACAGCCAGGGCCCCACACCAATTTTGATAAAATTGAATTTAACAAAATCTCTGGTAATGGGGGCTGAACATTCGCATCTTTTTAAAATTCCCCAAGTATGAAGTTAGGGCTAAAAATCACCAAGGTCTCTTGAACTTTTCTTATACGCCACAATAAGTGGAGTTGTACCATAGAAGAGAGAAGTCCTGCTTTGAATTCGTCAATGTAATAGAGGAGTAAGAATGTCACAGTTAAGTCATCCAACCTTTAAAGCTTATGTCTTTGAGGACTTCTCTCTAAACTGTCTGCCATCCTAACACAAAGCAAAAGCTCCAAGTTTTAGGTTCAGCCTTAATACCATGTATTGACAAGATGCTTTTTCTCTTCTTTTTCCCAGTTATGCCTTCTCAGAATGCTATACTTTTTAATGAAATGAACATGGAAAAGAAGGAAATGAATGATGGATCACACATAGTCAAGTACCAGGTAAGTTTAGTTTTTCTCTTTTCTAAAATGCTAATATAGTTCTCAGAAGGTGAGCACTGCTTTTTTTTTCAATTCTCAGAAGTGCTAAGCCCCAAAATTCCAAAGCCCTTGAAACTCTTGTGACAGATGATAATTTCTATTGGATGTTTCTCATTCACCTTATATACCCCTTTATAGCACCTTTCCTCTCCAGCATTTTTACCAGTCAAGTACTCATGTTGGTGCTGGATGTTGTAAAGGAGACAAAAAAAGGCCATGGACTGTCATATAATCACCCTTCCCTTAAACAGCTCAACAGAATTCAAACAACACTGTAAGCAATGAGTGATGCCCAGGTCACTATGACCGCTTGGAGCTAATGGCATTATTATGCCTGGGGACATCTGCTGCCACAAGTTAATTTTTATCCAGAACCTGTTATATCTTTTCCAAAACTAGTTCAAGCCTGTTGTTACAAGCCTGTAATTTGATTAAGTATTATGTAAACCGAAAAGATGTAACTATTTGTTTCTATGAAAACTAGTTGGATGTTTTGGGAAGATTAAGTAAATGCTATTTTTAAAAAATTGCTATCGAATTAAGTATGAGGAAAACTGTAAAACACTGGTGGGGAAATCATAAAAATCTCAGAGGATTCTACACCTACATTATTTCCTGTCATTTGCTTGTTCCACTTTAATAAAACAGAAACTGATGCATTATGGATATGAACACTCAATCATTAGAATCACTCATGTAAAAAAGCTTAGCTTTACATCAAAAGTTGAGCCAATGAATATACATGTATATATTTTAAATTAAAATAAAGTTTTTCGTATCTTTTATGGATCTCTAACCAGAGTTTTGCTTAACACACCAGATACCAGTCTTAGTTGCTTCATGTAGGAGGATTTCTATTATTCCAAATTCTATGGAGTGATCATTATATGTACAAAGCAAATAAACTCATTGGAGGAGATTTTAAAAAGTCTACCTCACAAAATATTCAAAAAGTATAGGTATAATGTTGGATGCTGCAATGCATGCGAAAGACAACAAATACAAGAGGTACACAGAAAAGGGATTAATCTGATTGAGACTGGAGGGATGAGGGAAGGCTTCATTAAGAAGGTAGAGTTTGAATTTGTGCTGATATCAGATAGGGCTTAGATATGAGAGAAAGCTGAACCATTGTAGACAGGAAATAAAACTTGAGCAAGAGCTGGGACAATAAGGAGACCGTCAGCTAGGGCTAAGCATTTATTTGGTACATTAGTGCTTTGGGATCCTTGGTCTGCAAGGAATAGATTCATTCAGTTTATTCTTTTTTTTTATTGAATTTTTAGAGAGATTTTTTTAGAGCAAAACCTTGATTTGTTGTTTCACTTATTTATGCATTCATTGATTGACTCTTGTATGTACCCTGACAGCAAATGAACCCACAACCTTGGCATATCAAGATGATGCTCTAACCAACTGAGCAACCTGTCCAGGGCATTATTCAGTTTACTCTTAATTGTAAGGCTCCCCACAGACAGGAGTAAAAAGGCATTGGGAACTAATTTGGCACATGTGCCTCTTGGCATTCTAGCCAGAGGAGTTTATTTTAATCTTCCAGAACCATTTATTGTGTTAAGAAAGAAGATGATTCATTCATTCAACAAATATTTTTTGAGCAGCTACTCTGTCAGAGATTATGCTTGGCATTAAATATACATCAATGAGCAAAACAGGTATGGTCCTAAACCCAGGTTCCTTACAGTCTGACAGAGACAGATGTTCAGCAAATATGCTAATAAAATTAAGATGTGTATTATACAAAATAAAGACTAAGGTGCTGTGAATGTGCATTAGGGAATCAGGGAAGAACTCTCTGGGGAAGCAAAATTTAACATGAGATGTGAAGGACATATAGAAGTAATAAAAGGAAGTGGAAAAGCACTTTAGGCATGTGGTAAATAAACATCAAGGATAAAAACCATGGGTATATTTGAGAAATTAAAAGAAGGCCAGTGTGGTTGGAGTGGAGGGAAGAAACATACAGGGGCCAAGTATGCAGCATCTTTGGCCGTTAAAAGTTTATGTTTTATTCTAAGTGCAGTGAAAATCCTTTGAGGGAACTTAGGCAAGATAGTAACATAATAAGTGACTGAATTCCACTTTAACAAATCACCCTGGTGCGCACTATGTGATAAATGAACTTGTGAGAGGCAAGAATAAAAAGGGGAGAGAACTACCTAGGTAGCTATCACAGTATTCTAGATGACAGAAAATAGTAGCTTAAAACTAGAAGATGGAGACAAATAGGTGGGTTTGAGAGCTTTGCTTTGGGAAATAGCAGATATTAGTAAGAAGGGTAAAGGTAAAGGAAGAAAAAAGATGATTTCAAAAAAAATGTTTCCCAGGAAATGGTAGGGTAATGGTGAGTCAGACCATATTACTCCTGCTCAAAATGTGTGGCCCCTTGTTTAACTCAGAGTAAAAGCCAAAGTCCTTATGATGGCCCAAGTAGGTGCTACGGACTGCAGAATCTGGACCTTTCTGACTTTCTCATTTACGTTTCCCCTTGCTCACTACACTCTACCCACTCTGGCCTCATCCTTCTTCTTTGAATATGCTACACACGCTATTGCTTTACGGCCTTTGTACTAATAACTTTTCAAGTCTTTCCTCAAATGTCACCTCTTCAGTGACATCTTTTCAATATTGTTATTTAATTATTTAAATAATATGAGAGCTTTCCTGTTAACAAATTGTAAAAAGCTGAAAAGCAAACATTGTTTTATGCATGTTTGTACTGTATTTTGCTGTGTATGATGCGGACCCACTTTTTTTATGCATTATACACAGGATTATTATACCCATGGTATGTAATCATTATACCCATGTATTATGTGCACCCTTATTTTTCCCTCAAAAATTTGGGCAAAAAAGTGTGCATTATACATGGTAAAATACAGTATATCTGTCTTGAAAGATGGTAGAAAGACAGGTAATAATTGTTGTTTCAAAACTTATGACCTCAATTGCTCAGAGGTCTGAAGACTCTTAGCACAACAGCTTAAACATCCTAACCTCCATACAGTATTAATATATATAGTTACATTTAGAAATGTAGAGGGAGTTTGTGTGTGTGTGTGTGTGTGTGTATGTGCATATGTATGTGTGTTCATGTATACATATATCATTTATATACATACCTCTGTCTTCCAGATACAACCACTGAGAGGGCCTAGAAGCAATGATACTCCAGTAGCATTGAACATACCTCATGCCCAGTTCTTGGTTCCTAAGTGCCATTCTCCATTAAAAGAAAGCAGACATAGCCACTCAGTATTTGACCAACAGTGCAGAACATGACATATTGCAACCCTGTAGATACTCTGGAAGAAGAGTCACTCAGTATTTGACCATTAAAAGGAACCAGGGAACCTTGGAGAAGTGACTGACTCCAGGCTTAGGGCCGAAAAGCACAAGATAAAATTTTGTTGTTGTTGTTGTTTATTAAAAATTACTAGCATTTTAAATATATTTTAATGAGAACACTTTCTTACCATCTTTAAATAAAACTGATATGCACTTTTTAATCTGAAACAGCTCTGGCATTAGGACTTAATTGCTTCCTGGTCCATGGGGCTTAGATGCCACGGCAGTACTAACTCTCCAGGGCTCTTGAGGCAGGTGTGAGCCATGTCCTCCTCTTTTGGAAGTCCTTGTGGCAACCTCAGGGGCTTGATTCTTATCAAATGTTTAACAACTTTCAGTTTCGCATTCACTGAAGGGATGTTCTTGTGAACTTGAGGAGTATGAGCTTTTTCTAATCCAAGCATCTTTATTACATCTTTTTCCCAATATAGATATCTTTTTACACTTTTTATTTTGGTAACAATATGCAGTTTATGAGGGTGCTGTGGATCCCCACCATATTTTTCATGATCTTCAGGTGAAGGCTGAAATACTTTATCTGGAATTCTTGACTTGGTGAATTTATGACAAATCCAATCTGTACAAATGAGAGACTTCATACCTTTTGTCACAGTACATAGTTTGCCTGGGGGCCTCTGAACTATTGAGCACAAAATCCTGGGCATGAGTGTGGTGACTGTCCTCTGTAGAGGCCACCAACGGAAGCTGAACAGAGGAGAAACGATTAAGTGCTACACTCAAACACTGCTGTCAGCTACAAGATGAAGTTTTAAAGAACATTTTTTTCTCTCCCAAAAAAGTAAAAGAAGTGCCCAAAAATGATAGTTACATGTCAAAAGGACACAGGAGTAAGTTATAAGGCGCTCCTACTGGCTAAACCCAGGATAACCTGAGAATAGAAATAATGATAGTAAATAATTATAATTTATTGAATAAAAAAGTATATAAATCCATCTGATATAAATTAATGAATTAATGAGAAGGGAAACGTCTTCAGCATGGTAGAAATCCAACTAAAAATATAAAAAGAATAATGGAATTCGAACTAAGCGCCATTTAGCAACCATCATAATTACCATTGATTCAGGCAAGAATTATCAGTAGATGCTAAAACCAGTGGATAAAAGTTTGAAGAGGAGCAAAATATTTACAGAATCTCAAAATATCTTCTACACAAGATACTTATTAATTACAGGAGAAAATAGTAATTTTCTAGTGGAAATTACTGGTAGACAACCACCTTAACCAAATTGTCAAAATTAACATTGCCAGTAATGGAACTAGTCAACATTGTGTGCCTCCTGAATGATTCGTTGAGAACCCGGCATCCCCTTTCATACTATTCCTACCAGAAGTGCATAGTGCGAAGCTACTTAGGAGGAGAAATTAGACAAGCCCAAACTGAGGTTTATTCTCAAGATAACTAGCCTACACTTTTCAAAATCTCAGTGTTATGAAATACAAAGAAAGGCTTGGAAAATGTTACAGATTAGAGGAGACAAAAGATACAAGACAACCAAATGGAGTGTATGATCTTAAATTTTCTTCTATTATAAAAGACATTATTAGAACATTTAGTGGAATTTGAATAATTACATAGTTTGACAACAGTACTGTACCAGTGTTAATTTTCTGATTTTGATTGTTGTACTGTTGTTATATGAGAATTCCTTGTTTTTTAGGAAATAAATACCAAAATTTTTAGGTATAAAGGGGTATCATGTCTGCAACTTACTGTTAAATGGTCCAGAAAAATTATAGAGAGCAAGAAGAAGAGAGAAGGAAAGGAAGAATTCTTTAATTATTCTTGCAACTTTTCTTTAGTCTGAAATTATGTCCAAATTTTTTACATTTAAAAAACAGTAATGAGGTAGCTCTCTCTGTCCTAATAAGCCTGAGATGGAAAAATTTCCAGCATTAATTGTTAAGTTAAAAAACAGTGTATAAAATGTTACCTTTGAAATAAAAAATAAAATGTGAGAGGTAATAATCCATATTCATATTTGCATTCAGAATAATTCTGGAAAAATACAAAAACTCTAAGTAGTGATTATCCATTAGGAGTAGAGCTGGACAGAGAGGAAAGAAGCCTGAGAGAGATGACTGTTACTAAATCTTTTTAATATGTTTTTGTTTCTACACTATATTAATATATTATCTACCTTAAAATAGAATTCAAATAAGGATATGAAAACAAAGAAAAAAGAAGAAACAGGTAACAAGTGCAAGATCATTAAAAACTATAGAAGGAAGGAGAAACCATAGGCAAAGTACTGATTAAGCCAGCCAAAAAGAACTACAGATGTGGATATTAAAGAAAGTAAACTGAAATTCATAATTTTACTCACCCTGGTGCTTAAGAGGCATGGGGGAATTTGAATAGAATTTAGAAATAAAAATCACAAAAGGGAAAATATTACAGAAGCAGAAAAGACATCTGTTCTTATGGTGGAAAGAGCATATAGGCTTTAGAATAAGATCTAAGATGAAATTCTGTTCTGTTGTTTACTACCTGTATGTCCTTGGATAAATAAATTTCTCCCAGCCTCAATGACTCATCTCTAAATTGCATATATCATTGAATTATAATATATTTTAGAAAGATATGTTATCAAAACATGAAAATTAATTTAAATGAAATATCAATATTGTACTTAAATATTGAATCTTAACTTATGGGAAAGAGCACTTATTTGAAACACCACACTCTACTTATTCTGAAGAACTGAGGAGTTATTGTATCCATGAAGTGGGTTTATTGGGGTGGGGAGTGTTGGGTAGTAAAGGAGGAGAAGGAAGTATAGATATTGGTTGTGTGTCTGTGTCTATCTCATAGAGCGAAAGGGTTGTTTAAAAAGCATTGATAATGGAGGAAATATAGAGGTTACCCTTTTTATTTGAAATTATTAACTGTTTCAGGCAGTTCATTTTACTGATCTCAGCATGCATCATGTACTTTCTACTCTTAACCTGTTTGGCCTTGTTGCTTTTGTTTTTTTTCTTTTTTCTAAATGAATTTATTGGGTGTAATCCACTGAAATAACCTCTCTCCTCTTCTGTCGAAAGCTTAAACCCTTTTAAGGACCACACAAAATATACCAACTTAATACCTACTTTCACTGTTTCAACGTATCCTGAATTCTATCATTTATCATTTCTGAAATCTTATAGCATGAACTTCCCATTATCATTTTTTAATTGTTTGGATGATATATTCTTTTTCCTGCAATAGATTATAAAAAGCTTAAAAGCAAGCATTATTTCATGCATTTTTTTTTAATGTATGGCTTGAAAGATGTTAGCGAGACAGACACTGATTGTTGTTTCAAAAATTTTAACCAGGATTAATGAGAGCCCTGGAGACTCTCGGCACAACAGCTGCTTAGACATCCTAACCTTTGTCTTCTGCTGTACCTTTTGCCCCTTCCCCTAAGGGCTCCAGTAAAATAAATAAATAAAAGGTCTCTGGCTGAGCAGGGGTGGACTTGATGTTTCAGGAATCACTGACATTCCAGGATGTGGCTGTGGACTTCACCAGTGAGGAATGGGACCAGCTGTACCCTGCTCAGAAGAACCTCTACCGAGATGTGATGCTGGAAAACTATAGGAATCTGGTCGCACTTGGTGAGAGTTGTTGTGTCCCTGTAAAACTGGAAATCATTCTAATGGGTTTATAGAAGTCCTCCCTTATCTGCAGGAGGTGCCTGAAACCATGAATAGTATTGAACCTTACATATACTATGCTTTTTCCTGTTCATACATACCTATGATAAAGTTTAATGCTTTTCCCATCTTATCTAAGCACTTACCATGCACTCCAGCCATAACTTTTGTGGTTTCAGGTACAACAAACAAAACTAGCATGAATTTCTTTTTCTTCACAATTTCATGAATAGAAGATGCATTCTTTTTTTTTTAAAGACATATTTATTCAGCATCATGATCAGACTATTACATTTAGCAATCAACAGCATGGGTGCAAAAAAAAGAATAAAGAAAAACTACATTAAAAATCATCTGTTGGAATACTTTACACTTTCCACAGAACAGAAACTAAAATAACCTGTTATACAATTAGTCACAAATACAGTCCTTGAGTTTTTTGCCCATTCATATGAGTATTGTCTAAAACACGTCTTCTTTGTAGCAGCCAGGCCCTGCCACCACTGTGCCTGGCTGAGTTCACAAATCTCTTGTAACCTGTAGTTTCCCTGTCACTTCTCTGGCTCTCCTCTCCTGCTAAGCTTTGTTTTCTGGCAGCAGTTAAAACCTTCTGCCACTGCCATAGCTACTGCTACTGCTGGAACCGCCATAGCCACTTTGGTTTCATGGTTTGAAAAAGTATTGGCCTCCACCACCATAGGGGCCAGAGCTTCTGCCTCCAAAGTTTCCTCCTTTCATGGGTCCAAAATTTGAAGAGTGATTGTTGTAATTGCCAAAATCATTGTAGCTTCCGCCACCTCCAAAATTGCTCCCATCATTACCAAATCCATTATAGCCATCCCCACTGCCACCATAACCACCACCACCACGGCTACCACCAAAGCCACCTTGACCGCTGAAGATGCATTCTTACCATAAATCTAAACAACCTCAGCATATAATTTTTTTATTTCCTTATTAAGTTGAAAATGTTCACCTTTTTACTTAAAGAAAGTATTTTATGGCTTCTATCTGGCATATCCAAATTGCCAGCATCGCTACTCTTGTGCTTTGGGGCCATTTTCATGTAAAATAAGTATTATCTAAACACAAGCACCTGGATATCAACACAGTCAATCTGATAACTGGGCTATTGTGTGACTAACTAGACTGGAGTATCTACAGCGTTGATATACTGAACAGAGAGATGATTCCTGTGATGGACAGGAAGAGCGAGATGGAGCCAGATTTGCACCATTACTCTGCATGTAGGACAGAAAAGTGTATGGGACTTAAGCTGACCTTAGAGTATACTAATCTTCCATCTCTTTGCTTATGGCAGGAGACGGCTTAAATAAATAACTTAAGTTGGTCATGAAAAAAACAAAGACTAACGAAGTTTGGAAATGAGTTCTGAGAGAAATATTTTTTGTTTCCAGTATAAACGTCTGAGACACATTTTTTTCCCATAAATAGGGCATCAACTTCATAAGCCAGAGGTGATCACTCAGTTGGAGCAAGAAGAGCAGTGGATGATGGAAAGAAACAGCCCGCTGGACACTCATCCAGGTGAGAAGCAGGCATTTTAGTATTTGCTACTAAGTGAAGGGAAAAAGTCACTTTTGAACTACTTGACTGAGTGTGCTCCTAATATCTCTCTCTGGGATTTAAAGAATACTGAAGACTTTTAAAAAATCTGGTTCATATTTGACTTTTTCCCAAAGTGGAAATGGCTTTTTTATTTTTTCTGATTAAATAGGTAGTATATACTTATTATTTATAAATTTACACAACACCGAAGTTATTTTGAAGGTATTAGTTTGATGTCCATATATATCTTGATGTTGCAAATCTCCACATAGCACTTTCTATTTTTTATTCACACATTCTCTCTTGATGTTCTTTAAATCTTTCTTTTCCATATCAAAAATCCTCTGTCATTTTTACCTACTTTTAATTTTTTCTTTTTCCTTTCATTATCAAAGCCTTTAAACTTATCTAAAAGCCATGGCCCTGGTTCTTGCTCTCATGTCACTTTTATGATATATCCTTCTTATAACTAAAATTGTTTTCTTGGAGATTACCACTGACTCCCTTCCAGTCAAATCCAATGGCTAAGAAACCACAGTTACTATCTCCTCTGATCTTGTATATGACTGTGTTTACCTTTTTGAAATTTTCTTCTACCCTGGCTTGTGATACATACTGTACTTGCCTTTTTCAGCCTTTCTCCTGTATCTTTTACCTGCTCCTGTACTACCTTCTCTCCCTCTTTAGTCTTCTAAAGGTGTGTATTTCTATGGACTTGCTGGTCCATTCTGTAGTACAATGTTTTTAAGTAGCCTTATATATAGTAGTCAGTTTCCCCCATTTCTACATTTCTAGTCTAAGTATTTTACCCACATTCTCTTTCCAGATTTTAGATTATATTTTTACTTATGAATGTCATGCTATTATTTAATTAATTACCATATTTCAGAACCTGGATCTGTTGACTGTATACTCTCTTCTTTAAAACATTTCACTAAATATGAGACTTCTTGACCAAAAGAAAAACCTCCATAGTTCCCTATTTTTAGATAATACCTACAATGCTCTACCTGGGTTATATTAGCAAATAGTTGACTGCTACATGTATGCTATGTTCCACTCTGGCTCATTAAGCCAGCTAACCTGCCCCATCTCTATCTAGTTTCCCACTCTGATTCTTTGTTCTTGCACCTTGTTTCATCATTTGGACTTGGTCTTGTTTCATTCAAACTTCTGCTTTTTCGATTTGACTTGGACTTAGCTGACCTTCTTGCTTTTAGTGCTCTAGATTCTCTTAGGCAGGAAACTTTGTTCCTATTCCAGTCTCTTTAAACCTGAGTTTTGGCCTGACCAGTGCTGGCATTCCATGGGTAGAGGCTAATAATTAAAACGTTCTGTCAAGAACCCCTAGCACTTTCCTTGACAACAGTGGGTGATATTAATTCTATGAACCTCCATACCCTGAATCCCAGGAAGTAGGAAACTAAAGAAATTAAAAACTTCCTTTTCAGGTGAAATGCTAGGGTAAGCACCTGCAGCTGAAGGCAGAGCTGTTCTGTCCAACGGGTACATACGCTGCCACACCATCTCCCATTGTGGCCCTACCCACAGCTGGCCCTCAACTAGAAATAATTGCTAACTTAAGAAAATTTTCAGATATCATTATGCATCTATATGTGGATTTTCCAGGCTCTTGGTTCATAGATCAGCTTGAACAAGTGATTTTTTCACATCCTTCTTGTCAGGGACAGACAGGCTGGCCATCTTCTCCAAGAAGGCCACTTTTGTTCTTCCATTATCTTGTGAGATATAATCAATGGTTCCTCTGATGAGAATGTGGAAAACATTTCTATTGATCAAAAGACACATCGAATGACTTGACTTTTGTGACCTAATTCTGATGTATTCTTTGGGGTATTACCTGCCTTATTGTTGGTGAAGTCTGCTGATATTTATCTAGAAATTTCTTCCTAGCTAAGACGAGACCTGGAAAGTGTCCAGGGTATTTATCAACGTAAGGGTATTAACAAGAGAAATGATTGGGGACTGATTAGAAGAACAACCAATTTGTACATTGTCAAGTGAACAGAGGTAAAAAAGAAATGTAGAGCTAGTAAGGTACAGTACTCTCACAAGAAGCTAGAATGAGAAAGGTGGACAATAAAGAGAATATTTGCTAGAATAAGAAAGTAGTGTCAAAAGAAGATTGTTCTAAGCAGGAATGATTTTAGCTTATTGATAATGCTGAAGGGAAGGAGTCATTAGAAAGGATGTGTAGAAATAGATACAAAAGATGGATCACGGTTCTAGAAGACATGGGAGTGGGATTGGAGATAAAGAGATAAGGATGATTTTGTACAGAAATAAGTTTATTCATGGCAAATTTGGGGGAGCTCACACATAGTGACTTCTATTTTCTTAGCAAAGTAGGCGGTAAGGTCCTCTCTTGAATGTAAAGGAACTGGGAGGCCAAGGGGAGATCCTGAGAAGTACTTGCTATAGCTTCCTGAGGTCAATGGAAGCTGATCAAAGAATAGTAAAGGGATTACTGGGCAGTTTTAGGGACCCACATAAAATTTATATATATTTTTATATATATAAATATATATAATTTTATATAAAATTATATAAATAAATCATATATGTATATATCTATATCTATATATATAGTTTCTAATTTCCATGTGTATGCCATTTCTCCTGTTATATTCAGCACTGGAACAGGTTTATAGAGCCCAAGCTGAGGGCATGTTTGACTAGTGGAACTAAAGGGGGAAAATTGTGAAAGAGAGTTAGTTTAGGTGGTTTGACATAGAGGCCAAGAAGTGACAAGAAGTAAAGTAAGGTCTGAAGAGGACTGAAAACTGAAAGACAGCAAAAGAGTCAGAGAAATGGAGGTCTAGATGAGGTCAGAAAGCAAATAGAATGCGAACAGAGCATGAAGAGCCACTCACTGGGCAGGAAGGCACGACACTGAGTTTGAGATTTCTCAAATGGACGAAAGTTTAGAGTATAATTGTGGAGCCAGGTAAGTAGATTGTTGAAGAAGTGTGAAGGTAAATGCACAAACAACTACCAGTTAGAAAAATAAGATGGAAAAGAAGAGCTTCACTCAGTAACAATTAAAAAGATAAAGCATTTAGAAATAAACATTCAACAAGAAATGCACAATACACATGAGGAAAACCTTAAGACACTTCTGACAGATGCATAAATGAACTTGACTAAATGGACATACAAAGATTTCAATGGCTCTGCTATACATGTAATGTAACCCCATAAAAAAGAATCTACAAGGTTTTGGGAGGATCTAGATAAGTTCATTCTAAAGTTCAAGTGAAAAAACCAAAACTCAAAAATAATCAGAAAAACTCTGAAAGAAAGAACAATAAGGGGGATTATCTCTATGGATTATATGCAGTAAAATTTCTTGAATTAAAGCAGACCAACTGAATAGAATAGAAAAATCCAGAAATAGGGCCATATACATGAAGGAGTTTAATTTTTGCCATATGATGTGATGTGATGTGATGTGATGTGATGTGATGTGATGTGATGTGATGTGATACAACATGACATGATATATGACATAACATGATATATGTAATTATTTCAAATTAGGAGTGAAAAGTAGAGATCTTAATAAATGGTATTAAGATAACTGACATTAAAAATGTAGACCTCAAAATAAATAGTGGGCAGTCATCTGGAAAGAGAGAAAATTGTGTCCATAGCTTACCCCTTAAACCAAAATAAATTACAAAGGTGTCAAGATCTTAAATGTAAAACATGAAACCATAGGAGACCTGGAAGAAAACACAAGAGAAATCTTCTGTAACCTTAAAATGGGGAAGTCTTTTCTGACTGTGATTCAAAATTTAGAAGCCATTAAAAAGATCTATATATTCAATACACACAAATCCCAAATTCTGCATGGTACAGAGTAATAACCAAAGCAAAAAAGATAAATAGAAATGGGGGAAATATTTAAACAGCATCTCCACATGCTCCCATATACATCCCTTGATCAGAGTCTTGTCTACCCTCCTCTATGGCAGTTGTGGCCATGTCTACTACCTGAGGGCTTAGGTTAGGTGAGAAGTTCAGGCAAAAGGACTAGAGTTTGTTCTTCAAAACTGCTTTGAAGCCCAAGATAATCATTGTCTCAATCTGGAGTCTAGACCCTGTCCCCTGGCATCCAGCTGGAATGTAGATAGGCAACCCTATGACTGAAGACCTGATGTGTTTTCAGGGTATCCATAGTAGGGGAGCAATCTTTTGCAGTCCATGCACAATCACTCCTCCTGGGTCAGTAGGTGGCAAGTCTGTCAACCAGCAATAGAAGTTTTCACTTCATAAATTACGTAAATGCCTAACCATATGCTGTAGACCTGAAATGTTAAGTTGGAAAGAGTATCTAAGGACATGGACAATATTTCAGGTGTGATGTTAATGGAAAAATCTGGTTGGTAAATAAATTTGTTTTTGTAAAATATATGAATGTGTTAATACATACATAGAAAGACTAGCAGAGTATCATAATTTTAAAAAGGGAGTTTTTCTTTTTCCCTGAAAGAGGCAAGCCACTGAAAGAATGAAATCAACAAAAGGGGCCATGAGCATGTTGGTCAGGCTTCCATGTTTCCAGGGATAAACAAAAGTTCTGGAGGTTAGACATTAGGGAATGAGTGCCCTGACCTCTGCTCCTAGGCAGTAGGAGTCTAGAGCTCCATTCCTACCGGCAGTTCCAGGATCTAGCTCTGCAGCCTACGGATCCTGGTGCTAAGAGAATATGATAGACAGTCTTCAGAGCCAGCCAATCATTCCAAACATTTTAAACCAAAGCTCCTGGGCAAATAAAAGCTTTGGGGCCAAAAAGAAAGTGGTCCAGTTGACAATTTGGTTGAAATGATAAATTGGTTTAAAATGAATTTTCTTTTTTTTAATTTAAAAATCATGTTTATTCTATTACAGTTGTCTCAATTTTTCCCCCTTTTCCCTACTCCACCATCCCACCCCCTACCCTGCTCCCACAGTCA